TTTTACCTCTGTTCCACAAACTCAATATTTGCTTGTGAGGAATGGAGAACCCACAGCACTAGCCGGCCTCGCTAGAGTGTGTGCACTCACAAGAATCATGGAGGGGTGATCACATCGCGAAAGCCATAGGATTTCTCCCCTCATCCACAGGGGTAAGCTGCACAACAGCTATGGATTAATTATCTAACAAACCATCTGCAGCTAACTAACTTAAGCTCGCAATGCCATTACTCAGTAAATACTCTACTGGTATGACGCCAATCCCCTCCTTTCTCACACCGAAGCAAATTATTAACGTTGACATCGCGTATGTCAGCATGAAGCAGGCCAGTGGAACTCTCATAAGCTCCTGTGGTCTTGGCTCTGAGGAAACTACCTCGCGCTACCGGTCAGATGAGCCCTTAGTATATGGACGAAATTACGGGTGCTGTACACGAATGATGCAGCAAATTTCATCGAGATCTACTATTTAATTGCCACTTAGCCAACAAGCTCTTTGGAAGGGAGAAAAAGTGTAGCCAACTACCATCCCTCGGCTATATTCACAATGTGGTCAATCATGCTGACGACTCTGTAGCACTTTTCAATGGAACTCACACAAATTCCATCGCATGTTTCTCGAGTCCCCTATAAAAGAGGATCGGAGCGCCGAATGAGTAGAGAAACACGATGATTTTCAGTTATTTCGGCGAACCTACGTACAGAAATAGGTGTGAAATAACAATGCTGAGTCCCATGAGAAACTCGGAGGTATTTTTGGAATGTTCCTCTTAACCGTTTCTCCACTTCCATCACATATCACAGTTGACCCACTCGTCGAGATTGCAACAGTTCCCCCCACGGAATTCACCCTGTTCTCGGCCAAACCCCTCAAAGTGACAGACAGATATATGTCATGGGTGTGAAATGTTAATAAATTGATTCCCAATTTGCTTACTTTTAGGTCAATCACAGATTTGTTGGTGAGCATGTATGTTTCCTGAGACTCACACTAGTTGTTTCATAACCCAACCGACCAACTCGAAATCATACGGCGAAAGCACGAGGAAAATAGTCCTAGTATATGCGAAGAGCATCTATGAAATCATTGAGAGACGCTTGAAACCATTTGGAATAAATATCACGCACAAACCAACAGACACTCTTCAGTCTATGCTATGTCAACCAAGAGACGCAGCAGCAAAAGAAGGCGAAATCGACACCATGTACGAGGTGAACTGCAGCATCCGTGGGAAACCTTGTATTGTTTGGATTGGACTTCCTCTTCGTCATCGCATCCATGAAAATGAACTGGCTGCCAAAAATCTTGGTGTGCACTCTCTCATATTGAAGTGTGCTGACATCAATTCAACAGTCGAAACGCAAAAGTAATAATGTGTCCTCATTTGGGTGTACATGATGGAGGCCATTTTGCAAGCATCATGAATACGCCAAATCATAATATATGGAGTAAGCATATTCACGGTAGCTAATGTCCAGTTGAAACTTTCATTAGCTGCGATATAAACAAGACATCGGTGTTGTAATAATCCTGATAAAGTCGCCTAACAGGGATAGAAGCAAACGGCATTTCCCGATTCTGGCTGTTAGCACTATTGAGGATTTAACGGAATGCGCGCGTTGTTTTCGTGGCGCGCTGTCAGGCACGTTTGCAACGCAATAGAAACCAATATAATGCCACTAAACAAGTTTCTTTTTCTTCTTTTTCAGAAAGAAACGTCAACGTGGCATCACTAGAGCAAGAGGAAGATCGGTTCTCTAAACTTGTTATAAATGACGATAACTAACTTGTACCCCGGGCAATTCAAGCCTCGTTTTGCTTGAAATAAACGTATCTTCCATGCCGTCTTTGCCTTCTTCCATCGTCCATCGTGCTTGTGGCCTGTGTGTTATACCGTAAGTTAGGCAACATTCCTATGTGTCAACTGTGCTTGTCTAACTTCAGGTTGGTTGGATGGTGTGCAGGAATTGATCACTCCAGTGCAGCAGTAAATATTGTTTAGTTGGTAAAAGGCTTCAGACTAAGTCATAGTAAATCGCATTGCCAGTTTTGTGGTGGAATATGTGACTTGTTGCCGACGCACTCCGCTTGTGGCCCAAGTGGTCTAGTGGATAACACTTTTCAAGGATTAACACAGGCCACAAGAGCTTTCTATCTCTATCATATGAATCAGGAATGCAATGTCGTGGCGTTTATTCAAGCTGATGTACTTTGGTTATTTCGAAAGTCGGAAGGCTGCTTCAGTAAGACTTCATTCGCTTTGGTGATACCAATGCTTGCCTTGTTAATGGCTACAAGTGGCTCACCGTAGCAGTGTGCAGCTAAGTGTTTGAAGAAGTATAACTACCTCAACAGCAAACAGAAACAGGCAAACTTCAGTTTGTACGCGGTCAGTAACCAGGATGACATCGAGCTAACCCAAATGAAGTGTTACGAGGCACGCTGAAGATGAAAATCACCCTCACAATTAGGTTTGTGACGGGACCCTCCGCAAATTTTCATCATTTCATTAGTTTCCCAGATTTGAAATAATGGATCAGGTTTGTAGATCAGTTGGATGATTTTGGTGTGGTTGCATTGTTCTAATTGCGAATCCTTGTTTGTCGATTTAGACAATGTTGTCAGCGCCAGCTTTAATAATGAATACATTCTCCATGAGTGATGCAATTCTGAAAGAAGTGAAAACGACAAATGCACCAGGTTAATATGAGCTAATCTCATCAATCTATCCTGATAAATTTGTCGTTCTTGCTTGGTTCAAGTTTATTGATGCGAAGAATTGTGTGCGGCTTTAAATGATATAATTGTATCTCCTGACAACGGTTTTCGTAATTACTTGTTAATTCACATTTTTGTTGGTCGTCTCCATTGGCTTGGGGTTGGGACACTCTTGTCATGTTGTTCATTCTTTTTTAATTAGTAAACTTTATCTGCAGTAGTGTGATTGTTAATTGGCGATTTGTCTGAGTACCAGGCTTCTAGAAATTCCCTGGTGTTTCCACTACTTACAGTCTCCCTATTTTTCCAGTCGAATTAGTGTCGGTAATTGTCTATGTGCATCGGTGTGGATGAATATATTTCGCTCGTTTAAATAATGATTCGACATGCTGACATCAAGGTGCTTGCATTGAATGAGGTCACATAAGACACGGATGGTTCCTGTCAGTGGAACAGTAATGAAGAGAAAGATGGCATCTAAGGCGACCATTCTTTTATCTGCAAGATTGACATTCCCAATTGGATCGACAAAGTTGAATGTATCCCGGCGATTGTGTCACAGCATTCGAATAATGTCCACCAGCCACTTCGCGGTTGAGTGATATGGAGAGTTTGTCGTATCTAGTATTGGATGGCGTGGAACATGTTTATGTACCCTTAGGTGAGTCGTATATGCGAGGCGTTGTTTAACCAGTTGGATGAAGTGGTCCGTATAGTTACGTGCCGATAAATGATTCATCTCTCATTTCTTCAATATTTTTGTCAGTTGCTGTTCTGCCGGTTCAGTGGGATCTTCTAAAGACGTCTGTTTTAAAAGCTTCTTGTCACTAGATAAAATCAGTGAAATTTCATCAAGATAGTCTGATTTGTTCAGCAGAACAATTCCAAAGCTTATCCAATTGTTTCAATTGATTTCAGTGCTCTTTGGACAGAAAATTACGAAAGGTAGATTTTATTGATGTAATCGAGACATCAATTTAAGACAGTTGACTTCAAATGGCATCCATGGAACTGGGACTGGATCGTCTGTCTGATTAAATAGATTCTCCAGTTGAACTTTTATGTTCAATTCAGTAGCTCTTGATGTTGCGTCACAGAAGACTCTCCAACCTCGCTCACCAAAGGAGAACGTAGGTGTGTTTCTATAGCTCGGTAACAGGAGGTCTGGTGAACTCAGGACACAAAGCTGCACTTGGGAAATCCTTCAAATTCCTATACAAGATCCCATCAAACATCTCAAAAGGAGTGAGATCAAGACATCTGGGCATAGTTAAAGCATTAGCGATGCAAAAGTTTAAGTTAAAACAGGTACGTCCAATCTTTGTCTTCACCATGGCCATCATAAACAGTCTAATTTCTCAATAATTATTATCCGATTATTTTCCTTATCCGAGCTTCCTATTTATTTTCCTTATTATCCCGTGTGTAAATTCCGTATGCACAATCGGTCAGCTTCTTCAACAATTGATGAGAAATTCGCATTAGGACACTAGAAAATCAAAACAAGAGATTCAACGAAGAGTCTCTTTCAACGAATCAGTCGTCAAGCTGTACAATCGTATATATATAAATTTGTGCATATAAATGATTGGTTGGAGTATCTCATCATGAGCTGGCATCAGTTAGAGAACCTGGGAGCACTGGGCAGTTGTTTCGTCCCAATTCGGGACTCAATAACAGTACGCAACTCTCGGTAGGGACATGAGTTCCTTCAAGGTTGCAGATATGCCTTGCTGACGAGTGTCAACTGGCACCAAACCTAGGTCCAAGGCTTCCTGCCGATTGTCTCCAACCATCTGGTATATAAATGACTTTATTAATAATGTGAAGTGATGAAAATGTGTATTTGCTTAGATCGTGCTGTTTGTTATCATCTACTTAAATTAATGATAAAAAAGTGACAAAGGACAGGAAGATAGGAAGAAGTACCAGGAGTCCTCAAGGAGTGATGTATATATATATATGTTCACTTTCCTTGGAAATCATGAAGTGTATTGACGCAATAACTAGTCATGTTATGCTAACGTCTATATTGCATATAGGAGTTGATATTTATGCCCTGTGTAGAAATGTTTGGCAATTCTAACTAAGAAGGCACTGCGATTTTATGTACGGAGCACCTTTATTATGCATTTCTATGATGTATAAATTAATACCCACTTCGTTTCCATTGTTTTTTCCGAACAATACACAAGACAATGCATTCTAGAAATGAGAAGTGCCATTCTGTTTTCGTTGGTTGCTAATTCATTTTAAAAGAGAATTTTCCTACAATGATACTATGATATTATGGGAGGTATGTTTCATTGTTGCATTTGTAATAATTGTTGATTAATTATTGTCAACGAATCAATACTAAGTATAGAATTGTGTGGATTATTTCTCCTCCTTTGAAAGAAGACAGAAAGCATAGTGATATGACGATGTCTCTTATGAATCTCTGTCAGTTGCCATGCACATTCTGTCCATCAACTGCTTACATTTAATATCGTATTACAGTGCACAATAGTTTGCTGACAATAATTAGCTTCGTGATCACACATCACGTTTAAGAATAGACAGCTAACAAACTACTTTTGCACCATACAGTGATCTGTTTGCGTGTTAACTATAAGAAATTTTTACCAAGGCCTTTCAGCAACCAGTAGTTACTGTACAATCGGGATTTGTTCATCTATGAGGTATGGATGTTGAAGGTGTTTTCGCTCCATTTATCGTCTGTTAGACTAACTTTTGCTCCCGACTTGCTATTGGTTTCACTTGTTTCAAGAATGCTGTACAAACCCTTGTAAAGTTAGGAGGTATTCTGAGTTGGAAACGTTTTGATTCCTGCACAACTCCGGGGTTATTTGCATTATTCACGTTTGAGTCAGTATCAATTCTTCCACTTTAGTGTAGGCTAGCTAAAGATTCATACAGACTATGTTTATTTCCACTGGATATGATTGCTTCAGGACACCGTTTCAGACCTTATAAGTTGAATGACAATAACTCCTAAATGACTTGCAAAACTACTGGTTGTGGAGCTAATTTTGATAAAATATGCTGCAACATCGACACCGATTTCAACCTCATGGAGATTTATTGTCACCGGAAATGTGATTCAGTCGGCTTATTTGCATTTTGAATTCGCAACTGAAGATAGACTTTGTGGGCTTCCAAGATGGATTTTGCACCGTCGATACATTTCAGATAGTTTCAGCAAAGGTGGGATTAGAAATGAAGGCTGGTAGATGTTTCCGAGTCATTTTTGTGTGTACACTGAGTCAGTAATTTACAGCAGTAGCGGTAATAATATCATACATAATAGCGTAACTTACCATCTAGTACTGCGCCGACCTATTCCTACAGTTAGGTAGTGCTCAAGGAGAATTATTGTGGGATCGATGCTTTGTACTTAATCCTGTTAGTGATCAAATGTGAAACCACCTAAAAGTTAAAAAAGTGGTAATCTTCATAATACTTTGAGGTGATTGACTGAATGTATCTGTGTATGAATTTGAATGGTATTAATGTTACAGTTCGAAGTGTTTAAAGGGATGACTTTGAACTCCATTTTGAGATTACTGTTACCATGGGTGTTTTTCTCATCATTGTGTTACTGGAGCTCACCGGCAGACGTATGGACAAAGGGCTTGTTGGCTGTCCTGGATGTCTGGCCCCATTCAGAAAGGCGTATGAACTGAACTCCGGTCACCGGCTGCCAATGGATAGTGGACTCCCTACTCCACTCCTACTGCCTTGTAGCTCACACTTGGTTGTGTAAAGGCTAGAGCTGCACTCTCAAACAAAAGGCTGAGCGATCCTGGGGACATCGCTCGTACCAAATTCCCATGAAACTTCATGAACTCGCTAAAAAAAGACTCTCACCATGCTACGGCGTTCCCGGTAAGCGACGCGCCCTGTGCTCACCCGGTGGCCAGTGTGAAAACATGGCTTGGTACAGTCAAGGCTGATATGGAGTGCCTGGGGCTACAAACCGTCTACGGACTCCGTCTGTGGAACAAGAATTGGATAACCCTGTTGCAAAACCCTGCATCAGATCGCCGCGCCTGGGCAGCGATGATTCGAGATGTTCTTCAAGCCGGCTCATCCTCCCGTAGGAGATAGCTGAAGTAAACTAAGTAAGTTACTGTCGTATGATCTTTACCATTTGGATTTTAGGACACACATTTCTGTCGAGTAACGGACTGAAGTCTATGCGTGTTTAGTCGCTTTCTCATAGGATTTCACGATTTCAGGTATTTTCTTCTATTCTCATTTAGGTAATTTGGACAGATTATCGTACAAAAAATTTCCATATATTTTTCGCTGCTGCTGTGCTATTAATGCAAAGAGATAATATAATGAACAGGAAATATGATGCAAATAGTATATTAAAGGTAAATTTGACCTTATTCAAATGTTTTACTGTTATTTATATTATTCAGACATAGTAAAACATTGATACGATACACTACACCAGATCTGAAAGTATTTTTTTTACTTGTAATGACTGATGGGTTGGTTAACGGTACTGTGGTGATGTGAATGACAGAATTTGTATAGCAGTTGAACTTTTATTATTCTAGCAAGTCAACGTCCATTGTGGGCAATTTAGGTTATTTTATTGGAAAATAACCAATTCAACTTTTGAAAATAAGGCCAACATTACAGTTATGGAAAAAAGGCGATCCAGACTATGGCTTATATTGATACTACTTTTGTTACAAACAGCCTAACGGTTTAACTATCTGATTGACTTGTCAACGTAGAACTACACACAGAAGGTCAGTAGTTCAAGTTAGCACACTGTATATATAGCACACAAAGGTGAAGTAAATAAATTCAGGAGACTATAATGAACGGAGATGTATGGGAAAGATAATAAGTAAGTGGAAAGTAATGAGACTTTAATAGATCTTATAGTTCAAAGAGAGTGAATAAATCTGCAGCGTTGAGAACAATGGCTCAAACCAACTGTCAACGATTTCATGGATTGATGCCGAGTATTGGTTTAACCACTCCTAATTCTTTTCCGACCTAATCGTGTGCCAGCCAGCATTGCTCCTTGAGGTAGGCGATGGCGTGGTGTGCGCAACATGTGCCCTAACCATCTCGGTCTATGTAATTTCACAATGTCATCGATTGACTTGATTGACTTGTATGATACATTTACCTAACCGTGCAACTGAAATAGTTTCTACTTAACTGCTTTCTTCTTCTTCTCCTCGTCCTCGTCCTCGCCAACTTAGCATGTGAATGAATTATCAATGAAAATTCCACTAGAAGCATCCCTTAATTATGCTACAGCTTTACTGTCTCAGTTAGAACAAATTTCCGATTCTCTACCGAAATCCGTACGGAATATTATCCATGGACAGTCGTTGGCGATGTCTAGACATGTCAGTGAATCAAAACAGAAAGGAATCAATTGTCCAGATCCATCATCTATATACGACTATTCGCCGACACTATTAAATGAAGAATTAGAGGTGCTGATGGACAATGAAATGTATGATCCTAATAAAGATGTGACTAATCAGTCTATTCTAATGATTCCTTCTGATACTAATCGACAGTTTTTTCAGTGATTTTAATGAATTAACTAACTTGATTATTATGCGAAACCAAGTGCATTATGTTATTGGATAACAAGTCATAATGTTTGCAGTGTATTATTCTTTTCTTTATAATCAGACTCATTATTTATTACAAAACTTATGTAATGTATTTCACACATCATATATATATATAAATTCCCATCATGTATTGACTAAAATGATTATGTTTCAACACCTTGATTACAAACTGAATTGAATAACTTGAGTTATGTTTTGCGAAATATTATATTACTTCTTGTATCATTTTGATTTTGCTTGATTGTTTTTGTTACAAAGTCAGTCTTTCTATTTGCCAAAAAGAAACGTAGTTTTCTGAACATTTCTCTACTTATCACATTGATATTTGTAAGCATACATACGAAGGTGACAGCAATCCCATACTGTTTATCTGAGCCGTGGGATGAGATGTAGGCTGTGATTTTTAAGACGCTAAGTAAGAGTCAGAGTTTGGAGACTCTGTCAAGTGACATGGGATAATCTACAGTATCCGACATCTGTTCATCCCTTAATGTCGATGTTCCAATCAACACCACTGTCTGTCTGTTGTATTATTGTATTTCCCACACATTTTTGTTGTCTGAAGTGCCTTAACATTTCGGTTCTCTGCTGGTTTTCCGAAAAGTGACAACTTGGACTTATCACGTTGGTTTGTCTTTGCAGCTGTGTTTTAAGCATGAGTGATCGTATGCATACTGTTGTTGTATTTTGCTTAACTTCAGTGATTGATGTAATCTTAGCCTAGTCATCTGGAGTTTCTTCCACTAAGCTATGAAGTCTCTTTTCATTTAATATTTTAAAACAAGAAATAATGTGAGACTTCGTTCAGATATTAAGTCTCCACATGACTTGTCAAGCTGAGTATTTGATACATTGGATAATTTATATGAAATCGCAACTTTTCAATACATAGAGGTGGAGACAGGTACATCAAGATGTGAACAAGTTGCTGGGAAGTTTTACGTCTAATAGACGCTGGGTCAGCGGTTCATTAGTAGATATGGATCAGCGTCGGTGCATTATATCGTGTGTGTTATCGGTTAGATGGACATGCGTCGGAAACCGCAATGTATCCAGAGGTATTGTCAACACAAGGTGACTATCCCATTCAGTCCCTTCAGCGAGAAGTCATCATAGCTGATTGTTTTAGGGGATGTGTATTTATGCGAATGAGCAAAGAAAAGTGGTGAATACACAATATGGATCACTGGTCAGGTGGAGAAATAGTAGAGTTGGACACATTGAAGGCACCACGCTCTGTGACGCATTGAATATCACGACGTTACTTTGACAATGTGTCAGATTGTTCACCAGAGGCAATCAGGTTAAGCTTAGGAACAATAGTTACCAGTCAACTGGTTTGCTTATTGCTGTCATCCAAATTGTGCGTATAGTTTAGAATGGTAGTGTTGTTTTTTAACACTTATGGGGCAGAAGTGACCAGTGTCTGATAGGTAATTTCAAACATCATGTTGGGGGTTTATAAAAGAGGATGAATGCTTTTTAAATCCTTCCCATTTATATTTTGCTTCTGAATACCTTTCGTATTGTATGTTTCGTTTTCCTATTCTTCTTCTCGTGTTATTATCGTTATTGGTATGATGGTTTTGGATGTTTCTTCAGTGGGCTTCATTCATGATGGCATTTTATGAGTTGGGTTCCAAATCAGCGTAGAATATGTTTCTTTTTGGACTGTATTCAGTAGATATGTTGAGTGTGGTGTGTAGGATTTGAATGCAGCTTGTATATTTTTCCTACAGCTAAAGCCAACACTACTTTCTGTCTGAAAATATTTCTCATTAGAACCAACTGTTTAATTATTGGCTGAGTACGCTTGTTTGTGATTCGATTAGCGTGCTTGATATACGTGGTTAAGTCTCAGGTAGTGTTTCGATTTGCCGTAGCTGTTGTATTGACTTTCTATTAATTGTTCGCCTTTTTGATACCCGTAGGTGGTGATACCCGACCTTCTTCCAAATCAAACAACTCAGTGAAGAAATAATGTAGTTGCTAATTTTTATGTGAACTGATTGATTTACCAGAGAACTGAAAATTATGTAGTTGAATTGCTTTGAGCTCGCAGGTTGAAACACGTAAATGCAAGTATTAATTGCGTAGAACCAGCTTTCATAAGACCGTCGATAAAGGATTGCTTATCAGAATCAGACATTCCCATCGACAAACAACACTAGGACGGTGTTCTTTTCTCTCTGCAGTTCACGTATGATATAGCTTTCATTTAGCTTTCTTGGCGTCTCCTATTTCCTTAGTCTTTATCATTGAGAACATGAGGCTTCTTGTTCAACAACGATATAGTTATGAGAACTAAATTGTGCTTCGAACGTCATCCAGTTATAAATACTCGATTACAGACTCATGTCAAATAAACATATTTAATATGCAGTCGGTTACATAGTGGATATTGAGTGGTGCAGATCTACGCTTCCCAATAGCTAACAATCGCAGCGAGCAGTAAACTTGTGGAGAAACATCTTCAAGACAAATGTATAAGATATCACTTCATGCGAAGTCGGTAACGTTTGCAAAACAATGAAGCTGAGTGGTTAGTAGTTCACAAGAAGTCGGTATTATGCATCTTGTGATAAAGACTTTATCTAATATTCTTATACCAACAAATCCATATGATAAGACAATCTTCGAACAGGTGTGTGTGTGTGTGTATGCGCATCCTATGGTGATGTGTTTCGACAGGTATGTTGTAGGATCTACTTGGCAGGCCACAGTGTTGGTGCAATAATTCCAAATGGGTTGAATGTCGAAGGAGATTTTCTCGTTAGCTTCATGTTAAGATAACGTGTTTGAAAGTAAGTAGTAGTATCAGTTAATAGATCCTATTTTATGCTTAACATCCTCATTTTTCTCTTTAGATGGAAGAATATTGATGTTTGTTTCTATACGATTTCCCTCTGGTCAGTAGGCTGGCTATTTAGTGAAATTGAATCCGCCTGTTTTCAGAGTTTGCTCCGACTGGGAACAAATTAGCTGACACTCGTCAAAATAAAATTCTTCCCTAGCTACTTGAATAACAAACACTCTTATCGAACATATCAGTGTCATCTAGAATGGTCCTTTGTAACGCAAACATGGTGCAACTTCATGAAGAGGTTGATCCATTAGAATGTACTTTCACTCTGTTATCTACTGCTTCCGTCTGCATGTTGCTTCTCTCCTTCAGTCACCACCATAAGAATTTGATAGCACTTTGATGATACAGAGGAACAACTACTTGGTGAAAGATAGCTTCTATGTCTACGATGTTGTGAATTGGTCTGTGCGAAAATCTCATAAAGACGTCCACCAGATTATTCATCAGATCGGGACCAAGGTATAAATTGTTATTCAAAGATGTCCTTGTCCACTGTGATGAGTAGTAGAGTGCAATCCTTGATTTATTAGGCTTTTTATGAGGGAACACTGACTGAGTGGTGCGCTACATGCATACACGGATAAACTATTACTTGTCTTGTCGAACTCAGTCTTATAAAACCAATGAGACGTGGTCTCTGTTTTTTCTGTAGGTGATGTAAACTTCACTATGCTAGTTCCCCCCAAAGAGTTCTACTCTGGAGTCCATGTAACATCCAGCCTAAAGAAGATTTAATAGCACAAGGTTGAATAACTCCACCAAGCGTTTTGTCAATTGTTACATGCACTTCTGGCACCTTACAACCAACTTACATCTTAATCTCTTCATCTTTAACGCTTGTCAGAACTGCACCATGCAGATGGTTCACAAGTGTTTGTAACTGAGTTAGTCCTTAACTGTACATGCCTTTGAAACTTACCTGAGAGGAGGAACCTGCTGGCGAAACCTGTAGTTGTACCCGTCTATAGAATAGAGTGGGATTTTCTCAGTCGTCCCTTCTAAACCTATTTATGTAGCTAGATCCTGGCAACGAGCGTTGCATCTGACCCACTTTTCAGTTTGGACAACTTTTTCTTTATGTCCATCTGACACAGGCACTACTGAGAACGCAATCTAACTCGTCACATCGCTTCACTGGTATAAGAAAAGAACTTGGGCACTTTGGTAGAATATAATTCCATCATGAAGTGGATTTATTTGATAAAAGCACACAGTGGTACAGTATTGTTATTTGCTGATGACGTTTTGGAGTACAGTTTGTTCCTTGATTGAGTTTGCACGTTTGAATGCCACCCCAGTAGGCGCTGTATTAAGAATCCTACGTAGGTTTCCAGATGTCCCTTCCTTGTATGGTAAAAGTGTGCACGCCTTAAGTTCTTTGTTATTTGTATTGTCGTCAGCAGTCCCACTACTCTTCTTGCTTTTCTTGTCAGCTTCTGTGGTCGTCTTCATGGATTTTGTTGGATTTTTACCTCGCATCAGCGCTCCTCCTTCCATCTGTTTTGTTTCGTTGGTTAGGTTTTCTGATGCACTACCTTGAGTTGTATTGCTCGGTTAATTAGACACTTAACTATGCCTGCCTTTACAGGTGACGGATGAGATGAATGAAAGCCTAAGTGTCGGTCAGAGTGAGTTGGATTTTTATAAACTCTAGTGCATAGTCTACCTTCTCCTATCCGTTTTTTGTCCTATAGTTTAACATAGCTGGATCTCCTTGTTGATTTTCTGATTTAATTGTAAATTTAGTTTCCTGTACTGTTGAGTTTACATGTGTAAATCAACTGGAGATGTGTTCTGTTTTTGCAACACCGCGAAAGTGTCATCCACACATCTGCACCATATCTCTGGGGTGGAGTTAAATGCTCTAAGAGCCATATTTCTCCAATAACCTATAAAGATATCTGATACAATTGGGGATATTGGTGATTCCGTTGACACCCGTTTTGTTTGTTAATATATTTTTAGCCCTGGAATTTGAAGGCAGTAGATGTGAGGCATAACTGGATTCCTGAGATAATTTCCTCAACAGGTAACTTTGTCCTATGTGTGAGTTTGGAATCAGCAGTTAGTTGTTTCCTAACTGCTTCCAAAGCCATATTGATTGGTATATTAGTATGAAGGCTAGTTATATGAAAAGTGACCATTTTTGGTTATTTCCTATTCGAGTATCACTCAACTTTGACATTTCATCTGAATTAGTTAGTCTCGAGGTTGAAGGATCTCTGGTGAGACATAATATTAATGCTGAGTGCATAGGTGACTTAGTGGTCACTACTAAGTAGGGGTATTTCTGCGACCAACTTTTGATTTTGTAGGATTATGAATCTTAATAGTACCATATAGTTTAGTGTCATTGTTGGTTTCAGGCACTAGATTAAGCCATTAAGACTCACTCAGTGACCGCTTCCTTCTGGGTACTAAATATACTGTAGACTTTTTAATATTATTCTTTGTTGTACCTACAGGCTTCTTA